CTCCCGCTTCCCTGTAACCTCACCTACTGTGGCCTCCCACTCAGAGCAAATGCTCACTTTGTTACACGCTACTTACCAGCCCCACCAGCTTCTGGTTGCCCTGAGCGAAAACCAGGAGTTGGCAGCCTGCCAGGGAGAGACTTGTTAGTGAGACAGAAAGAAGGCTTCCTGCTTCTCTTCCTGTGGCCATGGCGCGAGGAGAAAAAGAGGTCACGGCTCAGGTTTGGCTTACAGCATATTTGCTTCCACCAGGCTGGTTCCCAAGGGCCTCCTGGTCTTCTGCAGGAACCAGAGAACTGTCCTAGCCTGGATTAGACGCCAGCCCTGGGGTATGGCCAGAGACCCCAGGGCAGCCAGTGCCAGGGCGACAGCTGCTGCCGTGAGGGCTTCTGCTTGACCAGAGAGGCAGGACCCTCTCCCTGGGGTTCTGGGGGTGGAGGCAGGGTGGACAGTGGTTCCTGGCAGCAGCGATCATCAATACCACGAGAAAGCCTCAAGTTCTGGAGTGGAATGGCAATGAGGCCAAGAGACACTGTCATCACTCCACAAATGAAGATACCTTTAAAGAACAGGTGCTCCACATGCAAAGGAGTTTGGGTTTTTACTGCCCTCCCTCTCCCTGCCTTTGGACAGGTTTTCTTTGCTGTGATTATTCCCCATGAATCATCATCCACAGAAAGTGACTGAGGCAATGGAGAGTGAATAATGAATCCCCTAAATGGTCTTTTGTGTCTCTGCCTGGAGGGTTTTGGAAATAACTTGCATTTTAATCTTTCTGACTTGGAATCATAGAATCTGGGAGCTGAGGACGACCTTATAGATAATCAGGGGATTGTGACCTCATGGAGAGACCAGATGAAGTCAAGACATGTGGGTCTGAGCCTCTGGTCTGTCACTAAAAATAATGCTTGCTAACATTTATTGAAGGCTTTCTCTGTATCAGGCACTCGTCTATTCTTCCCAAACCCTCAGAGGCAGCAGCTTCTATTGCCTCCGTTCTGCCTGTGAGGAAGGGAGCTAGGGGGCCAGAACTCCCCTCCAGTCACACAAAGGCTCTGACTCTCGCTCTGGGACCCACGCCCTCTCAGTCACTCAGCTGCCTCACTGCAGGGCCTCAGACAAGTAATTTAACCTCTTTGGGTCTCAGTTTTCTCCTCTCTGATCTTTAAAATTTTATAACTCTTAACAAAAGTCTGTGTTTTCTACCCACACATATGATTCACAGGTTAGGAAAGTGCAGCCCAGAAATGTGAAATCATTTGCCATAGATCGCCCAGGTGGCTAATGGCAGAGAGGGCGCAGGAACCCAGACCCACTGGTCTTTCCTCTCCGCCTGCCAGGGGAGATGGCCTCCCCCTGCTCCACCTCTTTGGCACGTGTTTCCAGAGGAGTTCAGATAGATTGGAGATGTCGATTTGGGTGTGGCCAAAGACAGCACTAACGAGGAATTTAAGAGGCTGGTGATACTTGTCTCAGTGCCTGCAACCTATCTGTCTGTCTGCTGTTTCTTATCTTTCTCAGGTCAAGAGTGGTGATCATAATCATGCGGTAGCCACAGAGACAGAACATGGTGATTCCATATCTGGTGTGGCGCATACACGCTCTCCCCTGGTGGCTGATGCTTACGGTGGGTTTGTCCCTATCAAGCAGACGTTACCAGCTTGTACCGGCTCCCACCCAGCATCCCTCATGGTGATTCAGAATCTGCTCCTCTCTCCCTTCTCCTGCCCCCGTTCCTTGTCTTGGGGTTTGATCATGCCCCGGCATGTGAGGACACAGATCTGATGGGGCGCTCTGGTGGTCAGTGTGCCACCTTTACTGGCACCCCCACCCTAGTGTCCTTGCTCCGAAAACAGAGATTGGGGAGGGCGGGAAGTGTCGGTGCGCACATCATTGGAGTGCATCCGAAGTGAGAACAAGGGCTTCCTGGGCGAGGTAGTACTTTGTTCACAAGGGCAGTGAATCCCTACGTGTGTGTGTGTGTGTGTGTGTGTGTGTGTGTGTGGCTCAGCCACTCCAAAATGAGCTCTCACCCACTGGTGAGTGGAAAATTAGCTTTGGCAGGTGAGGAACTGGGTGACAGGTGAGGAAGCCAGCAGGGGTATCGGTGTTATCCTTCTACTATTGCTGTTGCTGGTGTGGCTAGCAGCCTCTCTCTTGTGTCCCCTCCTCTGCTGACTTGTAATGGGGCTCAGTGGAAATGGCTCAGAAGGGCTTGAGCATGGGGGAGCATGACATGAGTGCAATAGAATGGCCTTGTGGCCTTTGGAAGCTGGCTCTGTGCTCTGCAGGTGGGCTGTCTTAAGCCAGTTGGGAACTGGCATTTTCCTGACGGCCCACAAAGCAAGCTGTGTGGCTTACATTTCTCTGGTGGGTGGGAGAAGGGAAGGCAGTCCAGGGACTAAGCCCTGGGAAATCCTGCCATATGGCAGAATGTTGGAGGCGATGTGGGCCAGAAGCGGCAGGTGGGAGACCTGGGGTCTTGGACTGGCTCTGCTGGCCTGTCTGTGCCTGGCTCTGGTTGGCCCTGTAATCTTGCTGTGCCTCAGTTGCTCTAACTGTAAAGTGGGGGCAAATAACCCCTCTGCTCCATGCTTGCTGTAAAGGTAGGATGTGTAGAGGCCCTCTGAAATGTCAAGAGCATGGTTCCAAACGTGAGGCCCAAGTGCCAAGGGAATTTGCAGAGCCCACAGGGAGGCCGCGGTCTGCTTCCCGTCGGTTTCACAGCCTGTGCTCAGACATGTACTTAAGCATCTCACGTCCATAAATCTCATCTCGTCTCTGTAGTCAGCAAATAAGGGAAAGGGCAGGCTGCCGCTCCGTCACCATCTGATCTTCTTACCGACCTCGGCTCTGGGCCTCCTCTGCCCCCACCCGAGGCGATGATCCCTCTGCCCTCCTGCGTCTGCTCTCGGCCTGTCAGTTTAATTTAACAAGGTTGCGGGAGAGGTTTGATTTAATCAAACCAGTTGCTGTATCCATTCTGCTCAGAGGTCCCTCAGTGTCACCGGCGAGACTCAGATTAGACAGTGACAATTACTTCTTCCCTGGCGATTGCTTCCCCCTCCCTTTCTCTCCCTGAAGGGAACAAGGAGGCAGACCGGTCTCCTGGGACCTAAGAATAGATGCAGGAGGATCAAAGGAGGGCAGCAGGCCGGCCTGAGAAAGCCCCTCTCATGCCTTACATGGCCTGGTTTAAGGCTGAGCAACAGCCCGAGGGAAGGAGGGATAGAAAATTCGAGCAGAGCTGCCTTGGAAAGGCTCAAGACTGCCTGAGGACAGAGCTGTGCCATCATCGATGGCCCTTGGAGTTACACCCAGTCTCCAAAATGGGGTAGAGGGATGCGCCAAGGGGGTAAGGTAGCTTCATGCTCTGGACCGCAATTTATTTCCAGATTCTTGGCCTGCATTCTGGGGTCTCCAGAGCTGGAAGACAACAGCCACAACAACGGTGAGACTCCATCCAAGTTTCTGTGGCTCTGTTCTTGGCATGAAAGCGGCAGACACAGAAGAAGCTGCCCTGGACCAGGGGTTCGAGGGAAGCTGTGTGGAAACTGCGGGGTGGGGGGCAGATAGGGTACTGTGGCGCTCACTTGCTCTACAGTGTGTGTGTGTGTGTGTGTGTGTGTGTGTGTGTGTGTGTGTGTGGTGTATTTGAGTGTCTGGGGCTGGAAAGCAAGGCAGGGGGTCTCTGGTGCAGAAGCCTCAGGGCTTAGGGAGTTTCGAGTTCCAGAACAGACCTCTCTTCTTGCCATTTAACTCTTTCCCTTCTTTTCTAGGAAGTGGGTGCTCAGCACCTCTTGCTCTCTTTAGAGGCTCACAGGAGAGAGACAAAGCCTCTTGAAGGGGAATCCTCACTCAGGGTGATGGGAACCCTGTTTCCTTTGGCTCATTTGTGTCACATTCTTCCGTCGGGCTGGGCAACTGACAGGTGCATCCCTCTCCGGGCCCCTCTTGGAGTCCCCTCCCTGCCATTTGTCTCTCACCTAGATATCTGGCAGACACCACCATCCGCAGGAGCTGAATATGATTAGCAGAAACCCTTCCTGACAGCTCCAAAGAGAATCCCTCAAATGCATATTCTATTGAGTGCATCTCATTGCCACTGACAGCCGCTTTATCAATTAAATTCCACATTCCCAGTCTTTGGAGACGCCATGAACCTCCCTACCTAATAAATCACAGGCCCCCAGTTATTGTTAAATGTCCCATCAGTCTCTAATAAACTCCCTGCCAACGGGGGCAGGTTATTTATTATGTTGCCTGGACAAGAATGAATTGGGCCCCGTTCTCACAAGGAGAAGAGCAAACGTGACGCCTTCCTCCCTAAAGACTGAGGCTGTGTTATTAAAAGGGGCAATTAATCAATGTGGGCCTCAGCAGAGGGGAGCCTGGTCTGGGGAGAGGCAGGAAGACATGGGGTTCTTTTCTGAAAGCCTGCCAGGCCAATCCCCTTGGCGGGCTGTGGCCGTGCAGAATGCATGGGCTGGGTCTTTGCTGCTTTCCCACCTCCTCATTCCTGGGTAGGGTACCGAAGATATATATGGTCACTCCCTGGGTCAAGGGGCACATGTAAAAAGTTATCCTCCGTGTTGGGAGGTAGCCACTTAGGACCGAGAAGGTCATGACCCAAATTCTGTCCGGGCAGCCAGAGGCTGTTACTTGATGCACTTTATATAACCTAAGTTTATTGATGGCGCTAGTCCGCTGAGCAGACGAACCGAAGAAAACAGGAGGGAAGGTCTCCCTTGCCTGGGAGCAAGAACTAGGAAACACACGCTTAGTCAGTGTGCTCGATAAACAGACACAGGTAAGCCCTGGTCCTCGGGGAGCAGCGTACCAACACCCAAAACGTCCAGGAGCCATCAGGGGTAAGATACAGGGTGTGACATGCGCCCTGCAGTTACCTGCCTCAAATTAGATCCCAGATCCCGACGACACTCCATGGTCTGCCAGTTAAAACCCAGTCTCCTTGGCTTTGCCATTAACAGAGTCCCATCTGCATTTCCAACTGTATTTCTTTATTTTACGTAACAGTACCCCGCACTGGGAGAGCACAGCACACTCATTCTCTATCCCTTATGGTAGCAGACGAAGTCCTCTGTAACATGGGACCAATATATCTCTGCAGCCTCATTTCCTGGTAATTGGCTGCCACACTTGCCTCCGTTCGCACCAGAGCTCGTGGCTTCCCTAAACTATTATGGTTTCTCATGCTTGCACGCCTTTGCACAAACTGTTCCCTTTGCCCAGAATATCTCTCTCACTTGTCTGCTTGGTGAGCTCTCCTTCCGCCCCCACTGCCTGATGGAACTCCTTATCTATGCTTCGGGATCAGCTCAGAAAATGAGCCCCCAGGGCTTCATGGGACTTGGGCTTTGCCACCCGGTGCTGCTGTTTGGCGGAAGTACTAAACTCCAGGGTAGGTAAGGAATGATCTGCGCGTGGTGGCTTTCTCATTGTTCAATGCATGCTTTAAACTGCTTTGATTTTGGGTGAAGATGAGAAGGGCACAGGGAAGAAAGCCATTGCTCTCTGAATCCCAAGAGCTGTTTTCCTTAATTTCTCAGTAGTTCCCACTCCGTCCCACATGACAGCCACATTTTAACTAAGGCCCCGAAAATGTCAGCATTGCATATGATTTTCTACCACTTTGTGCTACTTGCATATTTCCTCTTTGATCAGGGCCATCTGTTTGCAGGTATCCTTCTCCTTGAGGGCAAGGGCTGTTTATTTTCTCCCATTTCTGTATCTCCAGCCATTGGCTGATTCATATTAAGTGCTCAGAAGAAATCTGTTGAAAGAATGAATAGAGAGATGTTTCAGATGGAAGGCAAATGACATTGCCTACTCTTTGTTGCTTTGAGGATCAAATGAGAAAAAATAGCTGTAAAAATGGCAGTTCTGTTCCTTCTTTCCACATTCTCCCATGGATCCTCATACCCAGGTTGGGCCACCTTAGGTCCATGCTTTTATTTATATCGTTTTCCTCTACTCTGGTACAAAACCCTCCACTGTGAGATGATGGTATGGGATCATTTGAACTTCCACGTCCATCCTGAGTTTTTACTTGGTTTTCAGTGCACAGGAATCCTTCCCTTCTCTAGCTCCCAAACATAAGGTGAAGAAAGGCTTTCCAGGTGGACAGAACAGTGTAAGAAAAGGCTGAGGTCCCACTGAGATCTTCCCCGAGGGGAGGCCAGGAAGCACACAACAGTCTGACTCATTGCTGTGTATGTTACTCTCATACCTTTTACTTAGTTATTAAATGGTGTCTCACCTTGGTGTTTTATCTTTACAGCACTAAAAGTTACAGCCAACAACTTTATTAAACTTTTTCACTACTGAGGAAAACATTTTATTGATTTGTGTTTTTAGCTGTGGCCATACAATTTATTCCTAGTAACATTCCTGCAATATTTGTGTGTGTGAAACATCATAAACAATAAACATGATCAGAGAACGTCTATAAAACTGGAAGTGTTTTTTTCTGGAAAAGCAGTCTTTTTGCTTCTTTTGGGTTGAGAGCTGGCTTCTTCATCATTGATTGGTTTGAGTTCTACAGAACTACTGCTATACACGTGGAGATCTAGCAAGCACTTTTGAGCAAGATTCGGTGTTTATTAGGCCCACCAAGGGCCTGGTGCAGGGCTGGAGAGCCTGGAGTGACAAAATTCCCAACCTTGAGAAGTTTGTAGTTTTTTAAGTGTAAGGGACAGACACTTAAACAAGTAAGAACACGGTAAGAGATGGATTGGAGTGTGTGAAGTGGGAGTTTGGCGTGGGAAATAAAAAAGTTTGTGAAAAGGATCTGGGGCCCCTGGGTGGCTCAGTCAGTTAAGTGTCTGACTATGGCTCAGGTCATGATCTTGAGGTTCATGACTTTTGAGCCCGCAGTCGGGCTCTGTGCTGACAGCTGGGGGCCTGGAGCCTGTTTCAGATTCTGTATCTTCTTCTCTCTCTGCCCCTCCCCCACTCATGTGCGCATGCTCTCTATCTCAAAAATAAATAAACATTAAAAAAAAAAAACCCCACAGGATCTGAAGCTGGACCCAAACAAAGGTACACACTTAAGAACGATTACTCCAGTGAGTGGCTGAGAGAGAGAAGAAATGGGACAGGGGGACCATTCAGAAGGTTGTTTCAATAGTGAGGCTGACCAAGGGGCTTACAACAGGACAGATGCGATGGAGACAGGACAGAGGAATGAATGAAATACATAGAGGCAAAATTACCTGCCCTCGGGTAATTGTAAGGAAAGGGAGAAGGATGGTAGATGGTGTAGTTAAGAATAATTCCCAGGTTTGGGATTTGGGGGCTAGGTGGATGAAAAAGTGGGGTTACTAAGAGGAAGCCTGGAAATTTCAGTGCCTGCTTGCCACAGAACACCTTCTTTCACATGGACAGTTGACATTTTCTCAATGTTTTCTAAATTTCTGACCAAATGCATCTTTGGGATCTCTTACGGATGGGATTACCTTGCCAAAGCCCCTCCTACACCATTTGGAATCTAGATCATCCTTCTGTGTGCACCTGCCTGTGTGTGAGCATGGGGTGAGAGAGAATGATCAGAATGATGATATAAGTAAGTACAAAAGAAAAAGTTGGGAGTTGGACACGGAATATCTTCAGTTTTGAAATTATAAACAAGATTAGTTTCCAGAAATATTTGAATTTGGAATTATGGCTAAGACTTGCAGGAGCTCATTTGTTCAATAAATAGTGAGCACTTACTAGGGGTCAGATCTAGTTTTTTCTCAATGGAATACGGAAGAGAACTAGACAGAACAGGTCCCGGTCCTCATAGAGCGGGGGTCACAGACACTAAACACAATCTCAGAGGTAAGTTACATGAAGAAAAATAAAGCAGAACAAGGGAACAGAGAGTGGTGGGAAAGATGGGAGAGCCCAGGGGCTGGGGGCAGTATTTTATATAATGATAATAATAAGTCAGGCTGAAACAGGTGGTGGCGAAAAAGTACCCTTACCATGATGAGCACTGGGTAATGTATAGAATGGCTGAATCGCTATACTGTACACCTGAAACTAACATAACACTGTATGTTGACTATACTGGAGTTAAAATTAAAAAAAAAAAAAAAAAGGTCAAGAACGACTTCTTCAAAAAGGCGATATTTGAGCAGAGACCAAAAAGAAGGGAAGGTGCAGACTGTCGGTTGGCCCCCGCGAGATGGTGGTGCACAGCGCCAGAAGCAATACCCAGGTGACATGAAAGATATCTACCAGACTTCTGAGTGGAGATGTTGAGAAGGCAGAGATGGATGTACCAACCTAAGTTCAGAGAGCGGTCTGAGGCGGAGCAATGGCTTTGAGAGGTGTCCGTCCAGGGCCCGGCTGCAATTCAACGGACGGGTACGGGAGCTGAGTGTGCCAGGTGCCGTGCTCGCGCTGGGGACAGACAGGAGTGACGCGTGCCGTGACAGACACGGCCAGGACCACGAGGAAGCCCTATGTGGCTGAACTTCGGAGCCTCAGGCGGGGACAGGCTCAGCCGGAGGCACCCGCCGCCAGCGGCCGGGAGGCGGGGACAGTGACGCGGCACGCGCCTCACAAAGCCCGCGTTCGGGGCGTGGCGCGGGGCCGGAGGGGGCGCCGGGCAGTGTCCCCCACCGTGCGCGCGCGGCGCCCTCTACAGGCTGCTCGCGGCCGCATACCGGTAGCCTCCGCCTCTTCTCCCTCTTTCAGCCTTCCTCGGGCCACATTTTTTTGTCGGTATCGCCGTTTGCAAGACTTCCTAAGCCTCCGACTTCCGTCCCTCGCCCCTTGCGGAAGCGTGTCCGTGTCTTCCCGGGAGGACTGCCAATAAAGTTTTTCGTCTTCTCGCTCTTAGGCTCCCTCCCTCGTCTCAAGTACCGCGAGATCTGGCGGCGCGGCGATTATGGCGGCGGCGTTTGAAGCCTCAGCGGCCTTAGCGACGGTGGAGGCTGCTATGCCGGCGGAGAATGTAGCCGCCCAGCTCGCGGCCTCGGAGCCAACCCCCGGGCCGGTGCGGAGCCTGCGGACCGCTCACGACGTCAGCGGCCCACGGACCCGCACGGGGGACGTGCTGCTGGCCGAGCCGGCCGACTTCGAGTCGCTGCTGCTGTCGCGGCCGGTGCTGGAGGGGCTGCGGGCTGCCGGCTTCGAGCGACCGTCGCCTGTGCAGCTCAAGGCCATCCCGCTGGGGCGCTGCGGGCTCGGTGAGGGCGGGGGCCGTGCACGGGCCGGGGGGTCCGGGGGGGTCCTGGAGGAGTCCCCGGGCGGCCGCGGGTGCTGGGCTCGGCCTGCGTCCGGGCCTCAGTTTCCTCTGAGAGACGCGCGTTGAATAGGAAGATGTTAGGGCCCTTTTCACAGTGACCGTTGGCTCTCAGTTCTAGAAGATAAAACGGTAGAGGTTCAGGGACGAGGCCGGTTTCTGGATATGGTACAGAAGTGTCAGCGAGGTGATCTCTGGAGACCCTTCTAATCGTGTGATTTCATGTTGGTATCCAAGCTTCTTTACTCGGTACTGGCTAGCGATATACAGTATTTTTTCTTTTTCTCCTCAGATTTAATTGTCCAAGCCAAATCTGGCACTGGGAAAACCTGTGTGTTCTCTACCATTGCTCTGGACTCTCTTGTTCTTGAAAACCTAAGTACCCAGGTGAGTTCAGCTCGGAGGACCCAAAGGAGGGTATGTGATGTGGATTTTATGACCACAGGTCGGATACAATACCAGAGCTCCTGGGAGAAGAGGTGAATTTAATGAATGGTTGAGTTAAGCCATATGAAAAACATAGAAGTAGACATTAAAGCCTATTTTGAGCGGTGGTGGTGTGGATGGTGACCAAGGATACGTTATTAGTGTTAGAAGTTTGGACATTTTATTACCGCATCTTACATAGAATAAGTCTGCCACGTGTGTCAATTTTTTCATTACTTTAGAATACAGATAGGTTTTCTTTATTTTACTTGCTGACCTGATTGTGGTAAGATTTAGGATTTGGGCTGATTGATGATCATGTGGTGCTCTGGCCATTGCGGTAACTGCAGGTCGTTCTTAACACTTGTGAATATATCTTACCTCTCCCATCTTCTAGGTTCTCTTGGTCTAAGATGGTCTTACCCACACTAATAAGAGATTTAGGTTTGGGAATCATTTCTTCCCATGTAATATATAAACAGTATGCTAGGATACCCATATTCAAAGCTCCTTGAGTCTAATATCTACCAAATCATGGCTTATGCACATAGGAAATCCTTCAGCTTCCCAAAGACCTAGGCTCTTCTACTTGTGAATTGACATGTATTTGAGATTTTGGTTTCTGACAGTTTGGGAGTAGGCGAATTAGGAGTAGGTAAAATGCCAACACCCTGAAGATGTTCCATCAACCAAATTTGTTATTTTTAAACTTAGGATCTTTGTGTTCTCAAATTCCTTTTTTGAAAACTGGGAAACATCAGAAAAGTCCAGAAGTACCAGAAAACTGCATGTAATCTCACCTACCCAGAAACTGCTGTTAACCATTGTGGCATATTTTCTCCTAGTTTTATTTGTTTATTTATTTATAATTAAATTTATTTAAAAAAAAATCCTTCCCTTCTTTTGTCACTTCCCTCTCTTTTCCCTGTTTGATTTTTCTTTATAGCACTTTTTATTGTATGCCATTATTTATGTCTATTTGTTTATTGTATGTCTTCTTACACAGAATGAAAGTGCCCTGAGGGCAAACTCTTTACTTAACAATAACTTATATGTTGCCTAGTTCATAGTAGGTTCTTATTCAATATTTGTTGAATGAATACGTGAGTGAATGAATGGAATTGTTTCCCTTGTCAGTACAAACTCCTCATTTAAAATGATTGGTTAAATGAAAAATAGCTCATTGTAGTGCGAATGTGTCAACCACATGTTATCTATTCCACTGACCTGTTAAAAGTTATGTATATTTTATGCTTTTTTAGATTTTGATCTTGGCTCCTACAAGAGAAATTGCTGTACAGATACATTCTGTTATTACAGCTATTGGGATAAAAATGGAAGGCTTAGAGTGTCATGTCTTTATTGGAGGGACTCCATTATCACAAGACAAAACCAGACTTAAAAAGTGTCATATTGCTGTAGGCTCTCCCGGTAAGATATCAATATCTTTGTTCATAACTGGGCTTTTAAGGAACTGAACACTTTTAATATTGGTAATATAAAATAGTTGATGTAAGAATATGGGAATCTTTGATAACTCTGATAATTATTTTGATGATTAGAAATGAAGAGGCTTTGGACATGTGACTGGAATTACCAGCAGAACTTAGGAAATCTCCATTCCTAAGGATGTTTAAGTGCACCTACGGAATTGGCTTCTGGGAAGGGGAGAAATGAGATGGTTTTCAGGAAGGCTTTCTAAACCATGGATTGGGGTTATTATTTGCTTCTCTATTCATCATTCAATCAGGAATCACCCAAATCAGAATTTAATATTCAGGGCCATAGAATTCAAGTCTTTTGATGGGAATAGTGTTTATGATCCATGCAATAAGCCAATAAGATGGTGAAATATGAGGAAAAAAATAATGGATTTCAGCAATATAGGACTCAAAATTTCTAGTTTGTGGTCTGGTATGTAAATGTATCACACTGAAGGTTGGGTCAAGAAAATCAGCAGTATGACCTGTGAGTGAGTAGAGTAACAACACTGGCTGAGATTTGCACAAATTCAGTGCATCTTAAATATTTCAATATGCTTTTTTCTGGAATTTAGGCAGAATTAAACAGCTGATAGAACTTGACTACTTGAATCCAGGCAGTATACGTCTCTTTATTCTTGATGAAGCAGATAAGCTTTTAGAAGAAGGCAGCTTCCAGGAGCAAATAAAGTAAGAAAAATAACTTGGCTTGACTATTAAAATGGTGTCCTAAAGTGTCTGTCTTTAGCTTTTCCAGCTGGTAGTTACTGTCTGATTAGTTTCCATGGTGTGTGTTTTTCTTCTATTTTGCAGCTGGATTTATTCCTCCTTGCCTGCCAGTAAACAGATGTTGGCGGTCTCAGCCACCTACCCTGAATATTTGGCTAATGCTTTGACAAGGTACATGAGAGATCCCACTTTTGTAAGACTAAATTCCAGTGATCCGAGTCTCATAGGTGAGTACAGATATTGGATACTTACATTACTGGTTTGTTTGTGATATTCTGGAGCTTTCCCTTGCCTAGTTGGCTTTCGCTTTCATATTGGCTATTAGGATATAGCAAATAGATTTTAACGGAAGACTCTCTGCAGGTTTGAAGCAGTATTACAAAGTCGTCAATTCGTACCCTTTGGCCCATAAGATTTTTGAGGAAAAGATTCAGCATTTGCAGGAACTGTTCAGCAGAATTCCATTCAATCAAGCCTTAGTCTTTTCTAATTTGCACAGCAGGTAACGTACCTTAAAAGGTCACCTAGGGAACTTGTGAAATGAAAGGATAGGTGTGGGGCCATATTTATAAAATGATAACCCCTACGTTATTTTTCGTAGAGCACAACATTTGGCTGATATCCTTTCTTCCAAAGGCTTTCCTGCTGAATGCATTTCGGGTAAGTTCATCTCTTACTTTAATCTTTGGTATCCGGACTTGAAGCTTCCGAAGTCAAGAGGAAGAAATACTACTTCATGAGTTGTCTTAGGAGTGTGGGGTTACACTGAGTCTTCAGAGTAAAGGAAATTTCAGGTTAATTTTTCATTGGGATTTGATATATCAATATTCTTTTTTTTTAGTTTATTTTTTTTTTTTTTATGTTTTATTTATTTCTAGGAGAGAGAGAGAGAGGGACAGCGTGAGCAGGGGAGGGTCAGAGAGAGGGAGTCACAGACTGAAACAGGCTCCAGGCTCCGAGCCGTCAGTCAGCACAGAGCCCGACGCGGGGCTCGAACCCACGAACCGCGAGATCATGACCTAAGCGAATGTCGGACGCTTAACCGACTAAGCCACCCAGGCGCCCCTTTAGTTTATTTTTTGAGAGAGAGGAGAGCGAGCAGGGGAGTAGCAGAGAGGGGGTGAGAGAGAATCCCAAGCAGCTGCTGTAATGTCAGTGCAGAGCCCGATGCAGCGCTCGAATTCATGAACCACGATATCATGACCTGAACGAAATCCAGAGTTAGACGCTTAGAACTGAGCCACCCAGGTGCCCCTCAATATTCTTATTTTTAAAGATGTAACTTGGTACATCATCCGAAATTAGAAAATTGGAATGAATTGTCCATGAAGAGCTCAATAATTTTATAAAGTTTATTATCTTCAGCGAAAAATATTTTGCTTCTTTATGTAATCATTGTAAAAATGCCACGAATTGCTACCGAATTAACTGCTTTATGGTCTTGAAGAAGGCGAACATGATTTTTTTGAAGATTTTATATTTAAGTAATATCTATACCCAGTGTGGAGCTTGAACTCAACAACCTTGAGATCAAGAGTCATATGCTCTACTGACTGAGCCAGCCGGACACCCCCAGATGATTCATTTTTGACAGAAAATTAAATTATTACTGCTGGCCTAATAGAAATGAAAGATTTAAAGGAGTTTTTGATCCGTAAG